TACGGAGATCACGGAGGAAGAGAGGAAGAGGAAGAATTGGTGACATACATCTTAGCGAGCTCTCGGTGTTTAAAGACGGCCACGATCTCTTTAAAATCCAAACTTAAATACAAAGAGACGATGATAGAGGCGCTGAAAGCTACTTATAGGGCTTCAAATGCATGTCACCTTTTGTTCAAAACCTAACTATGTAAAACAAATTCATGGGGAAAGATTAGAAACATTCAATATGGTTTTATCTTTTTGTTCAATATTATTTAGAACGACTTAACAGCTCTCGAAAGTTTGACTACGTTCACATGGAAAATATGACTCAAAAGCTCACATGGAAAATGCTTTTAAACTTAGTACACATTCAAGTCTCCGAGACAGAGCATTTTGAACACAAAATATGGACGACACAAAGACTATTGTCATTCTCATTCCCATCGCCTTTTCCTTTTCGAGAACATAAATCTTCCTTGGCCCTCTATCGAAATCATCCCGAGCTAAAAATTAGAAGTGAAGGGAAACCATGTTAATTGCTTGCGACGAACAAAATATGAGTGCTAATTTGATTGGCTTTACACTTTTGCTCCATTGTATTATTGTATATTAAACCCGGTTTACATATTTATTGTCTATGTTGTTTTCCTAAGGAAACTTTGTTTTTGTTTGTTTTTTCTCTTGTGATACGTTTCCAAACCATGGAATACTATTGAACATAGCCATTTCACTAGAAAAAGAAAGTGAGAGAGACAATTGGTAGTTAATTAGTAGACGTAAAAGCGAGACGAGGCACATCATAAACCCGGGAGATACATACACGTGATATCTCATCAAGTGATCCAATTCATTTTCTTCTCAGTAAGTTATTATGTACACGAACTAGCTATGCAACGAAAGTAATTAGACATGCAACAAAAGTGATTCATTAGTGGTCATGAATTTAACTGAACAATATGCAACGAAAGTAATTAGACAGTGTAACCATATATATCTCATCATCTGTTTGAAGCTGAAACTCTCACATCATTACAAGAAACTTGGCCCAAAATTCGCTCTGTAACAATGGCATTGCTCAAGCCCTTTTTTTTAATAAATAAATACAAAAGACAAATCAAAAAACAACCCAGAAATTATTTAAACATACAATAGGAGATTTTTGTTGTTTGGTAAAATTACAAAAGCAGATTTATCCAGGACAAATAATAAACAAAATGTCTTGGAAGCTGTAGAATCGAAAAGCAAAATGTTTGTGATGCTAATTTTCTTGCTTAATGTCCCTCAACAAGATAGCCTGCCAGAGAATCAGAGGAAAGGAAGAAACACACAGTTAGTTCAGCAAAATGTTTGTGATGCTATATTTCTTAAGTATCAGCGATTGATGTAATTTGTGAAAGAAAAAACGATAACCTCGTGGAGGAGGCGAGTGGCAAAGAGGAAGCAGGGTGTACACCATTCTCGTCGGTATTCGGTCTGGTAGTTTATATTGTCGATTCACTGTGGAACAAATGTGTATGGTTAGAGATTCTATTTCTGTTTTAAGTTTGTAAATATAGGGTTAAGGAAGAAAAAAGACGATGTATATTTGCAATAATGGAAAATTTCAGTTATATCAAACAAAATGTTGCGACACAGTCTTAAGGATGTGATATAGATCATATAACTAATTTACTGAAATATTGGAAACCGGAAAACTCCAACCCAGTTTTTGTTTCAGTCGGTAACCCCTTGGTAAACTCCAACTGAACCGAAAGTCCAACAATCCTAATTTTGGTTTTAGTTTGGACTTATATCTTTCACAAGACCCAAATACTCCAAATCCAAAATATCCAAACCGAAAAATGAAATGCCTAGGCGGCGAAGCCTAACCAAAAAATCTGAATCCCACAATCTCTCTATGTTGGTCTAATATGTGATAAGATGTCTCTACCTTACCTTGATAGTACATGTTTATTTAGTTAACCGATCATTTTTATACAAACCACATCGGTTTTATGGGGAAGGTTCTTGATACACTACTTAAGCCCAAAAAAATAAATGCAAAACTTGCGTGACAAGGAAACATCATATAGCTCACATTTCCTTAAATCGGTTCTTATATTCAAATGGAATGAAAGAAACAAAAGACAATAGTTCAAAGGTTTAATATATGACAATAGTTCTTATGTGTAATATAAAGTTCAAAGGTTTAACATATATGACAATAGTTCTTATGTGTAATATAAAGTTCAAAGGTTTTAGAAATTTCCTTACCTCTCATCAACTTGAATCAAGAATCGCTATCGCTGTCAAGCTTAGAAACCTTCATACCTGTGTTCTTCGCAGAGTTTTGGGCATGTTTCACTGCGATGGCGAGTTTCTTCTTCTTCCTCTCGGCCTTGGCTTCAGCTTTGGATCGGGCTGCTGCTGCAACAGCAAGAGGATTGGGAAGCAACATATCCTTGACCATTGCCTTTAGGCTAACACCTAGTCCGGATATAACATCCTCGTAGCTGCACTTCCTAGCCAAGCGTAGCATCAGCCTTTCAGCAAGGAGGAACTCTCTAGCCTTCTTCACAGCGGCTAAGAGAGCATTCTCGACCTCAGCATTAACCTCAGGCACAACATTAACCTTCTTAATCGAGACATTCTTCTTCTTTTTGGAAGCCTTGCACTTCTTTTTGGTGGACTTCTTCTTCTTTTTCATCTACAGAATGTGCAAACATACGTGTCAAAGCTACTGCAAACATCATCATCAAATGTACATGTGTGCAAACATACGTGACAAAGCTACTGCAAACATCATCATCAACCATACATGTACATGTGTCAAAGCAACATGTGTCTAGATTATAAAATAATTATACAAGTGTCAAGA